ATCAATGAGAGTAACAAACTGTAATGCACAACTAATATCACGAACGTTAATTGCACCACCAGCAGTCTTTGTCCTCAATGGATCACAAACATCTCTTTAGACTCGCTCCAAAACATGTAGTTTTTTAAACAAATGTGGACTAGAAAAAGAATTTCTATGTTGTTTGCCAATCAAAAAATCAATATATTGGTTCAAACAAATACTTTTGAACTTCATAAGACTTCTTTTCTTGAGAGAGCCTGCAATCCCTTCTCACTCATTTGTCCTAGCCTTTTATGTCACAATTCCATACTTGAATCTTTTTTTGTAGTATTTATCTGATCACCATAGTTTACAGCTTACATTCTGTATAAGGTATTATATTTTTTTCCATAAACTAAAATAAATGAACCCTTAGTAATCTTCTAGTTGTCTGCATCAAACTTGCCATGAAAGTCATCGTTATCAAGCATTCTAATTGAAATTAAATTCAATTTTAAACTTGCCACATGTCTCACATTATTTAGTACCAATTCATAGCCAAGATTGGTCCTAATGTAAACATCACTAATGCCAATGATGTTTGTTGTCCCTTCATTGTTCATTTTGACAACGCTCAAGTTTCCAACTTTATACTTGGCAAATGACTGCCTCCTTGGTACAGCATGATAAGAGCCTCCTAAATCAATGATTCATTCTAAATCTTTACTAACACAAGAAAAAATCTCATCAATAGTAGACAAAATCAAGTAATCACTATTTTGAACAGTGGCCAAGGTGTTTTCTTTTAATTCTTTATTATCTACTTTTTTTTCCTTTTTCTTACTCTTCTTGGGCTGCTTGCTCTGATTCTTGAAGTGTTCTTTTTCACCACAGTTATAACAAGTGATCTTCTTCTTTGATCTTGACTTGCTTTTACTTTTGGAGTAACTTTTATCTCTTGGCTTTGACTACCCTCTATTTTCTGTGATGAGTGCTTGTGCTTCACTATGAGAACTGATTGAGTTTTTTCGTCTCAACTCTTCATTAAGTAAGTTGCTTGTTATTTGACTCATGATGAGAACACCATTTGGTGCAGAATTGATGAGAGAAACCACTAATGTCTCCCAACTATGGGCAACAAACTAAGAAATAACAAAATCTACAACTCATCATTAAGACACATCTTTATAGAGGTTAACTGGTTAATAATACTCTACATTTTATTCAAATGCTCAGCAATAAAAAATCCCTCCTTATACTTTAGATTCACAAGTTTACTGATTAAGAATATCTTGTTACCTATTGTCTTTCTCTCCTAAAGACTTTCTAACTTCTTCTATAGAGAGTGTATAGAATTCTCAGTAGATACATGGTGAAAACCACTATCATCAAGCCATTAATTGATGAAGTCAATAGTCTTTTGATTTAGCCTTTTTCAATCATCAATTGATGTCGCCTCCAGTTTTACACTGTCTCGTTGTAGGGGTCTATATATGTCTTTGTAATACAAGAGATCTTTCATTCTTGATTTCCATAATGTCTAGTTGTTTCCATTCAAGCTAATCATGCGAGAAAGATTTCATGTCTTCATAGTCACTAACAAGAACTACAACTGTGATACCAGTTGTTAGAAATAAAAGTCTAATATGAACTTAGCGTGGAAACCAGAAGACAAAAATAAAATGAGCAACTTCTCTCTTAGTAAATAAAGTAAAAGTACAGAAGATTCCTCTCCAAGACTCATTGAGCTGCCTCGATAAGCGTGCCAACCGCTTCTCACGTCTCATCTTCTCTCTCTCCCCTCCGTATTAAATGCGGTTCTCCTCCTCAGCGGCGTCGATCACCTCGAAGCCGCAAAGGCTCCAATTGGGGCTGGCGTCCTCGGAGGGATTCCCCGGGGTGGTGTTGAGCACCGAGGCGTCGCAGCCCTGGGAATGAGGTCAGCGGTCAAGCTCTGAAGGCTAAGTCGTTTGAGACACGGATGTAGTGCATGCGGCCCCGGGAGTCGGGTCACATAAATGGAAGAAGAAGATCGAGGGAGGGAGGTGGGGGAGCGAGAGAGAGAGAGAGAGAGAGAGAGAAGCCCTAGGGTAGAGGGTGCTTACCCTGACGAACCAGTCGTGGAAGTGCATACGGATGAGTCCGGGGCAATGCCCTAGGGTTGCTGGCAAAGGTGGAGGCAACCGCCTTGCGTACCAGTTTCTCCGCTGACGGGCAACTTTTATCGTAGAACCCAGTTTTCAGGCCATTGCCGATGCACAGCCCCGGAATCACAGCCGTCAAAACTGCCATCGTTATCCACTTCATCATGGTATCAAACGGAGAGATAGATACATAGACAGATAGATAGATACAGAGAAAGAGCTAGAGAGAGAGACTAGAGGAAGGTTCGTTAATAGAGAGTGATCTGCACCAGCTCCGTTATTTATATTTAGTTTTCTCGGCGTGTTCTAAACACAATCTGATTCAAGCAGCTAATCCCCGATCTTTCAGACAGGAGACCACATCTCTCTCTCTCTCTCTCTCTCTCTCTCTCTCTCTCGCTCTCTCACTCGCCTGCTCTTCTCCTATTAAGATGATGCGACGGGCGGTGGTCTCCTCCACCGGTACGCCTGGCATCATCGCCTGTGTATATTATATGCATTTGACATCTAACGTGACAATCTTAACGTAGATAGAGATAAGAAGGGACCAGGCTGGCTCTTTTCTTTCGTTGGTTTGGCTTCGATATTCAAGCGGGATTGAGAGAAGTTCCAGAGAACCCACGGCAATTACAGTCCTTACCGAACTGAAGAATATTTTCCATGAACATTATATATCCAACCTTCAAGTGTTGACTTTTTCCCTCTCGAGGTCACAAAAAACAATCCCAGGTCCGATGGGGCGATTCTCCATGGAAGCCACCGTGCTGATTTCATTGTCTTTAACTACATGCGACAATTTTTTTGAGTTCCCGTCAACATCACAGTTGCATACTTCATCGTCAATATCGTCCGCAGCACGAAACCTATGAATTTCTCTACGTTAAAATGTAAATGGAATTCGATTTGAATAAATAACCTTTTAATTTGTCCATTTTTCAAAAGTCAACGTTGGATGTTCCGCTCGTCCTAATAGAATCTTAAGGATTGGTATTTTCCAAAGGATTGGTCTGTTCATACTTGTCGTTCAGATTCAGTACGGCACGTGTGAACCCATTCATCGATGACTCTCTGTAGAATAGTGACGCGTGAAGGGCACGTCAGGGAAGATTTTCAGCTGGGGTATCCTAATCCGGTGGCGCATGGTCAAGAAGACGAGGGTCCTACATGACGCAAAGGTCAACGACCGAATGGGACTGGACACCAACAAGCCTTAAATAAAGGCGTGGATCAGGTTGAGGCCCGTGGTAGTCGAGCTGTCGGCCATGGTAGCGTTCCTCCGGCAGACTCTCCCTCTCTAAATTTTATTACTTGAAGATACAGCGCTTCTCTTTTTTATGGTCGTAGTATTATTGAAACACTCAAACTTGATTTTTAGCCCCATACATGGACGGATTTAACTTGGAGTTTTTGTTTATCTCTATGATTTGAAGTCCAACCCGTAGTAAACGTGAATTATGAGAAGATGAGAAGATGACCCATTTCAGCTGAGGTTCTCTAGAACCTAATATACGAAGCATATCGAAGCCGAGAGATAGAGAGAGAAAGAGGGGAGGGAAGAGGGACAAGGAGGCCAACAGCTCTCTTCCTCTTGTCCAACAATGGTACAGACGGACTGATGAGGGGGAGAGAGAGAGAGAGAGGAGGAGGAGATGAGAGAATGAGCCAGGGTTGTAGCCCCCACGGATCACCTCTCTTTCGTGCTGGTAAGAAACAGAGTATCATAATGAGGGTAATTTAGTCTCTTTCATTTTTAAATTATATATGCTGGAATTAGTTAGACCAATGACTAAGTAATAATCTCAAAGCTTTTTCGTGTGTAGAACTCCATCTAAGAAAGATACAAGGCTTATCAATGAATTAGTCACTTTTGGGAAGGTAAACGAAAGTAAGAAACTTCAAAAGCATTCAATAATCATCTTCAATGTAGAAAATAATTACGCAGCTGCCTTGTTTGGGGAGGACCGTTCCTTCACACGTATGAGCACACATAAATAAAAATTTGACGCGAAATTTAATAATTCTCACATTTTAATCGGGGTATGACTGAAAATCTACAAGATAAAAGAAGATCTTTAAGGTGAAAATTTAGATGGTCATGTTTTAGGATATAATCACAATTAAAGGGAGGGGTCGCATGTTTCGTAGAACTTTCCACATGTGGATAATTAGGCTCTCATAATTGGTAAGGGGTTAAACTACGTATGATTTCCATAGTCCATGAGGATGTGGTCACAAGCAGGTAAGGGGTTCAATGAGATTAACATAATCAATACTTATCTGAATATAGAAACATTGCCATATGTAAATAACAAGCTCAATTAAGCTAACTTATTAAGTAGTTATTAATTATAACAACATAAGCAAAAAGAAGATAATCAAGCAATTAGAGAAAGATAGCCGACAACATGCGATTATAAAAAGTACCATGAGGTTAGCGTAGCAGGTCTTGAGACTCGCGTGGTCCATGATATGATCATAAAAATACTAGCATGGGGTAGGTATGGTCAGTACACCATGATAATCGATAATTATATGGCACATGTATCTAGATCTCTCTCTCTCTCTCTTGTTTCATTGTGAACTGGCCAGGCTGGACGGACGTCTGAGGCGCGGCCACGCTCCAGTGTATCTGGACCAAGATCTTTTTTCCGGCATACGCTCCGTCTCTATGTGTGTGTCGTTTCTCTCTCTCTCTCTCGCTCTCTCCCTCATTGTGAACTGGCCAGGCGGGGCGGACATTCGAGGGCGGGCTCACCCTCAGTGTATCCGGTCCGTGATTTATTTTTCGGCTTACACTTGGAGGCCACATGGCCCAGACAGGTCATATGTAGATTATGCGAAGCAGAGTTTTATTGAGCCAGAGAGGAAAACATGATTTCTAACTAGAGCAAGAGATCATTCGGCAGCCAAGGATGGGGCACTATTAATGACCCTGCACTGCTGTCTGATCTCTCCCTGCTCGCCCGTTAGCACCTCGATTTCCCCCATCTTCACCGTAGCGCGCGCGAACTTCTCTGCCCACACAGCGGGGTTCCCGGCGTTTTCGTCCACCGCCGCCTTGAGGGCGTCCACCGTCGTCAGGGCGTGGTCGGAGGTGAACAACCCGAGATTATTCTGAACCCCCACGTAGTATTTGTTGTCCAGAACGTCGGCGGTGATCAGATCCATCCTCACCGTGGTAGTATTCGGGGCTGTGGGCGTGCACTTCACTTCCAACAGCTCGGTGTAGGACAGGCTCAGAGTCGGGTCGACGTTCGGGGAGATCCGGTTGCTGAAGGCCCCGCAGTGGGAGACGCCGATGGAGTGGGCACCAGAGAGGGTGACCATCTCGTCGGCCGTCAGGTTCTTATCAGCGAAGCGTCGGATGAGTTCAGTGGCGTTGTCGAACGGCCGGGGAAGATCCACCTCCGAGACGTTGGAGACGAAGCCGTCGCGACGGCCGGCGGGGACCTGGTAGGAGATGTTGCCGGCGAGGGCGGCGCTGTCGCGGGAGGCGAAGGTGAGGATATCGGCACAGGAGACCACTCCGGGGCACGCGGCCTCGATGGCCTCCTTAGCGGCGTCGATCACCTCGAGGCCGCGGAGGGTCAAATTGGGGATCGCCTCCTTCTCCGATTGGCTGTCCGGTGTGGAGTCGAGGAGCACGGAGGCGTCGCATCCCTGCGATTGTTAGGTCACCGGTCACGTTCTGAAGGCTAAGTCTAGAGAGAGAGAGAGAGAGAGAGAGAGAGAGAGAGAGAAGTCTAGAAAGAGGGAAAGAGAGCTTGTGAAATCCTTCTAAAGCACACAGACTTCCATTTCTCCCACTCGTCCTTCCCCTGTTTTGCCTTTCCTCTTGGGGATTTTGCGTAACGAGTGCATAATGTCCACAGGACCGTACATGGATTTTCTCATGAGGGTGGGTGCTCACCCTGACGAAGCAGTCGTGGAAGTGTGTGCGGATGATGCCAGCGGCGATGCCCGGGTTGTCCGCGAAGGCGGAAGCGACCGCCTGCTGAACCAGGGCCTCCGCAGACGGGCACGTTGTATCGTAGAACCCAACCTGCAGGTCAGCGCTGGAGCACAGTGCCTGCATCACGGCCATCGCTACTGCCATCGCTACCCACTTCATCATCGTATCAGAATGTTGAGTTAGAGAGAGAGAGAGAGTTGGCGGGGGGGGGCTAGGATCCTGAGGTTTCGCGTCCGAAGAGGTTAAATAGAGGGGGGGATCCCCCCAGCCAAGTCCAGCCTAATTGGCGTTGAATTGTCCCCCGCATGCAATAACTAAAAGTTAGAGCGAGAGCGAGCAAGCAAATGAGCGCGCGCGCGCGCGAGAGAGAGAGAGAGAGAGAGAGAGAGAGAGAGAGAGAGAGGGTTGGGTGCAAGAAGGACGTAGACGTTGAACGAGATTTGACTGGGCTTGGGTTGGGTGGAGTCTTTCTTTCACGGGCTTGATTTTGATATCGAAACATACCAAAAATAAATCGAGTCAAGGTCAAACGAAACGGCGGTGAATATCGTCTTTATTTAAATGAACAATATTTCTATTTTATGTGGACGTCAGGCATTCAACGTGGATGAGTTGACTTTTTCCTCTCATGAGCCTAGAAGAAACACGATGCCGACATTATGGTTTTTATGTGCTAGAGGCCAAATTCTTATCGATCTCTTCCGCTTTAAAAAACACTTGAATATCTTTGTTTCCGATAAATAATGTTTTACCTTTTACTTGGCCCGCTGACCAGAGTCAACGCCGGTGGACTCACGCGATATGACAGGGGAAATAACTATTTTAAGGACGATAATTCCAAACGTATCCCGGTCGCGGTGGACGTGGTCCACGAGTTGTTAAGACAGTTTAAGGTGCGTATGAATCCACGTGTTGATCGATAGGACACCTCGGAAGAACAGTCGACCGTGTGAAGAGCGTTGGCGAAGATGTTCAGACGGATCATATTACTCGCAGCGTTGGGCACGTTATGAAAACGTTGGTCCTACGCGGCTGGGCAAATTAGCTTTGATCAACTATAAGCAAAAAAGCTTTGATCAAATCAAACTTGAGCTTGACAGGTCTCTCTGTGTAATTTATAGAGAGAGAGAGAGAGAGATAAGGGAAGGAGGGGGAGAAACGGTGAGGGAGAGATAAAGAGAGAGGGGAAGAGAGACATAAATAGAGAAAGAGAACGAGGAAATGAGGGATAAAAGGACAAAGAGAACAGGGAAGTGAGGGATAAAGAGAAAGAGGAAGAGAGAGAGATAAAGAGAGAGGGAAAGAGAGAGGGAGAGAGGTAGATAAAGAGAGCGGGGAAGAGAGAGAGATAGATGATAAAGAGAACGGGGAAGAGAGAGAGAGAGAGAGAGAGAGATAAAGAGAAAGGGGAAGAGAGAGGGAGAGAGATAGATAAAGAGAGCGGGGAAGAGAGAGAGAGATAGATGATAAAGAGAGAGCGGGGAAGAGAGGGAAAGAGATAAAGAGGGAGCGGGGAAGAGAGGGAAAGAGATAAAGAGGGAGCGGGGAAGGAGAGGGGGGAGAGAGATAACGAGAGAGACAGAAAGAGAGAGCGGGGGAGAGAGGGAGAGAAATAAAGAGAAAGAGAAAAGGGGGGGGGGAGATAGAGAGAGAGAGAGAGAGAGAGAGAGAGAGAGAGAGAGAGAGAGAGAGAGGATAGACGGGAATTAGAGATATTTGCTTATGATTTGAATCCCTGCTTTTTCTCTTGGATCTTGGTTCAATGTTAATGTTTTGAGAATCCTCGATATTGACTCCCCCGGATGTGTCTTCTGCTTAGTTGATTGACTCAGTTTTGTAGGTTTAATGTTAATATAAGAGTTGACATTTTGATAAGCATAGTTACAATACCCATACGAACCCTAATATAGTTATTTAATGTCATATGAGATTAACACATCCTCTATTCAATGGATAGGAAGTCGTGTGGAGTCCTACCTTAATTATTAAGCGCTAGTTTGAGACAGAAAGAGAAAGAGACCGACAGACCTGAAGGGAAAGAGGCGGAGAGAGAGACCAGTGAACAGAGAAAGGAGATGGGAGAGAGAGAGAGAGAGGTATCTTATAGGTATAACTTGGAAAATTATGATGCAAGATAAAGAGCTCTGATCTTTTAAGCTCAAAAATATTATTTTACATCTTAGAGCCTAGTTCTTAGGCCCAAATAGGAAAAAAATAAGTCGAAGCCTTTGCTGATCTCAATGATTTCAAGATTTACTATTAGTGAAAGTGAAATATAAGAAGACGTCCTACAACTTGAAACCTTCAGTCATTTAGGAGATACCCTCCAAAAATTGCATAAGAATCCATTGCAAATGGGCTTATGCAGAGTCTATTTTTGAAGGATATCAAAAATTAGGATGGATCTTTCCTTCTGATGTATAAATCCACGAGAAAGAAAGAGTGTGTGTGTGTGAGAGAGAGAGAGAGAGAGAGAGAGGTTTATTTGCTATAGAGGTTCGAAGAGCTTGAGGCAAATTAGAGACTGACGTAAATGAATATTAGTCAAATCATATTTGCTATTAAAAATAATCTTTTTTTGATGTTGACAAAACAAAAACAAGAGTAATATATATATATATATATAATCTTTGGATTATGTTGTTTGGATAATTATATATTGAGAATATCCCATGTCAACCTTTGGAAAAATCTCACAAAAGACAAGGACTAAATGCATGAAGATCCATCATTTTTCTTCATTTTGAAGATATCTGGTTAACTTGAGGGTCAACTTATGAGGGGATAATAAAATGATACCACTAGCACCATACAACAAAATAGCCAAAAAGGCAAACAGCCATAATTGGAGTTGTTTGGCATTAGCATACATGTGGGTACTTAATTTCCTACTATTTCAGAACTTTCAAAATAGAAAATAGAATCTAGAAAAATACTAATGACAACATTCATCTATCAACCATGCAGATATACTTTCCACATCATTTTTAATAATATTCATTGCATAATAGCTTGCTTCATTGCTCTCAAGCTTGCACCTTGAAGGCTCCTAGTTCTAACATTTCAGAAATCTCTAGGCATAATATTTGCCAGCGTTTTTCATTTTTTACTCATTCTAGAAGCTTCCCCATGGTAGAAAGGCTACTGCTATAAACAAGTGCTAGGTGAACTTGCGTTGACCCTAGAGTCATGGACTTCAGCATAAAAGGCTAACTTGTGGGGCAGCCATGTATGTAAACCTATACATAGACACGATCTGACCCATTTTGTGCTAAGTGGGTGTACTAATTGTAGGCTACTAGAAGCAAGTACTAAGACCTTCATGAGGGTACTGACAAAGTCTGTATGAGGTGGTGCTAATCCACTTAGAAAAAAATTAAGAGCAACTCATCCTACTTGAACAAGGTGTATAACAAAAGTTATAAGCTAGTAGAAAATTTTGGAAGACCCATTTACCTCCTCCCCCCACTTTGAGTTCCTCTCATGTCCCACTTGGGACAAACATACTCTTACACAATAGTTTCAGTTATCACCTAGTCAACAACTATGGCTGTTATAGTAGACATTTTGGTGCTCCAGATTTATGGCTCAAGTTGGTCTCGTGCATTGCTTAGGCCCAGGTTTAGGCATGCTTTACAAGGCCTACCTACACCCAGCTTGAACATTTAATAAAGCCTGAAAAATGGCCTTCAAGTCAAACTCCCATCAAGGTTGACTTTTTAAGAAGGGCCTAAATGTCTGGAGCCATTGATGATTTATAAGAGTGAGATGGTCATAGTCAAGAAACATAGTGTTGAAAATACCACTATTAGAGAGTGGTGGTGTTGACGAATTTATGTGTTAGGTTAACTTCTACTATTAGACCTAGGGCTGCGAATGGGATGGGGGCCTGACATCAAAGCATGCATGCACTAAGAGAAAAGAAAGCCCCAAAATAGGTTGAGAAGAAAAAATAGCCTGGGAGGTGGCCAAAACATCGGGTTGTGTGGATGTGCTGCTTGTAGACCGATAGGATGATGCCTATTTTTCTTCTTATGTGCTTCTCTCTCTCTCTCTCTCTCTATGTATATATATATCTCTCTCTTTGCATTGGGCTATAGATTGGACATTAGCCAAGGGTCGACAAGCCAATGAACTAGGTCAAATCCCCAAAGCTTCGCCAAGCCCGTTTATGTGCAAGAAAATGGGCCTCCCCGGTCCAGTCCACCTGCACCTTCACGTCTGTTTGTTAAACCCCTCGATCGTTGTCTCCACTGAAAAGTAGGGAATTTGGACTCCCGCGCGTCGGGGCAGCCAGAAGGAAGCCGCCGCCGGCGGACCCATGGCAGTGGAGAATGCGCAGGCGCGGGCTGGTCCATACCTCGGGGAGATATCTGCCCTCGCCTTCCTCCATCTGCCCACTCGCCTATCCTCTTCCTTTCCTCTCCTCCTCGCCGGTAACACTGCTGAGGGGACTCCCTATTTCATTTCTCTCTCTCTCTCTCTCTCTCGATTGTCTGTTCCAATGGCTTTACCCCAGTCTGTTGGTGCCCTTATCAGGTACAGGTTCGCAGGTCCTCGTATACAAACTCCAGCCCCGGAAGCTCCTCCTTTCCTTCCATGCCTTCGATGGCGTGCGGGTGCACGGGCTCACCCTCCGAACTGCCCCATCCTCTTCCAGCGAGATGATCGCCGTTTACGGAGAACGAAGGGTCAAGCTTCTCCGAGTGATGATCGGTGTGGATAGAGGTGAATTCTCCGTTGGGATGGAGGTGTCCTCCACTTTACCAAGATTCGACCACTGGGTTCTCGACGCCTTGTTCTTAGAGGTGCGGATGGTGATGGGTTTTCATGTATACTTTGGACATTTTAATTCCCCCGCTTAGAATTATTTCTTCATCCTGAAGTATTGTTGTTCGTCGCCATCTTGGGCAGGGGGAGAAGTATCTTGCAGTAGGTCTCAGTGACAACTCGGTTGCTGTCTGGGATGTCCTTCATTCCAAATTGGTAATCTTGGTGAAGTCCCCGGGTCAGTCTGTTCGCTTCCTGGCGTCCTCATATCTTACGTTGTTTTCCTTATAATGCTTGACGAAAATTCAGAATTAAAAAGGAGTCGGAGGAGTTCAGAACTAAGAGCAATATTTTCAATAATCAGTCCATAAGTTCATTATCTACTACGGATAGAAGGTCTGAAGGCAGATTCTGTTCCATAAAAGGAAGATTGCATAAGCATAGTTGGTCGTAAGCAAATCTTCTGGAAGAATGCGTCCACACCCACCCTTAAAATCTGTAAAATCCCGACCCGTTGAGGCTTTCAAGAAAAAAAATAATGCCTCATAATCTCATCATTGTCCGACTGACAGCCCCACTGTCAACTTACGTTTATGAACTCTTCTACTGTTCCTTATTGTAATGTTTATTGGGGAAAAAACACAAAAATACGATATTAAGGTGGGCAGACTGATTCAAGGTGGTATAGGTTGGAGACTTGGTGGAGATCTCGTCTTTGTTTTATGTCTGATGCTCAAGAATCTTGGTTTCGTTCGAATTCATAAGTGTATATCTATCTTAATGGTAGATCCCAGAGTGCTTAAAGGTCAGTCTAAGACAGCAATATGCTAATGTGATGTGCATTCTGATTTCCGATAATAGTACGTCTCCTTAGAGGCATAATTGATCCCATAACAGCTATGCATTCCTCTTTCGTCCTTATATTTTTGTTGAGAATTATCTTTTTGATTACAGAAAGGTGCCTTTTGTATTCCATGAGGTTATGGGGGGAGAATGTGGAGGCACTTCGTGTTGCATCTGGCACCATATTTAATGAGGTAACATTTTCCTGACGTTTATAATCACCCCATGGAATGCTGAAAGCCAGACTCTCAGGTCAAAAGGCTTACCCTAGGTCGCTCTGAAACCTACTGTGCTACCCTTTCTGTTTATTTAAAGTATTTCTTGATTAAAGGTAAATATTTGTCTTATAAGATTTTTGGAAGGTTATATTTTTCTTGTAAAGGATTATGCCAGATTATCTGACTAAAACAATGTAATTCTATTCGGTTTATCCTGAAATTAGTTTATTCTTTGCTCTTTTTCGTCAACACAGGATAAGTCCTTTCATCCCATATTGAATTGTTTTGGCAGATAATTGTTTGGAAGTTGGCTGTCTCTGCTCACCTATCCGAAGAAGATTCCTCATTCTTGAATTCATCTGATTTCAATGACGTTAAGACTCTCCATTTGGGCACGCTTGTTGGGCATAATGGTTCAATATTTCGCATCGCATGGAACTCGGATGGATCAAAGTTGTTGTCGGTTTCAGATGATCGTAGGTGGGTGACCTGGTTTGTTGCACCTCAAAAAAAGACTATTTTTGAAGGGTTCTAGTGTGATGCAATCCCTAACAAATTTCCTCGCCGCTTATACCAATGTTTTGGCTGTTTTAGTTCAATCTTGAAAGAATTAGCAATATTTATGTATATATTTTTCTTGGATGCTTGTTGCATTGTTAGGACAGTGCTCGAATGTGGCTGATAAATACTGAAAGGCAAAATGATGGCTCTTGGCTGAAGCTCCCAGCAGATCAAGTGCCCAATGGTGTTTCACTATATGGCCACAATGCTAGAATATGGGATTGCAGTATCTCTGACTCTGTAAGGTTTTTTTATTTTTTATTTTTTATGCTTCGGTTTAGATTTTTTTCGGCTGTTTTTATATGGTCATTATCACATATCTTACAATAGATGCTCCTCTACTATTGTTAAATATGCAGTAAAAGAGTCAAAACCATTTACCATTTTTTTTTCTTGATTTGTATCCCAAAAATATCTTTTGAGTTGACTCCACACTTTCTAAATGAACTTAATGAACGGATGTGCCTTTCTCATGCTTATTTTTTGACCTTTTTATTCTCCGGCTGGCATAGTTTTGCATTTTTTTATTTATACTACTTCTCTGATGGCATACCTTTTCAATCTTCATGTTTACTGCTACTTCTAATGCAGAATGATCCGCTTCTTTATTCTCTTTGGACAACCGGCTCTAGTTAACAGGATTTCTTTGTAGGTCGTTATCACTGCTGGGGAGGACTGTACGTGTCGTCTGTGGGGCATGGACGGCAACCAGATCATGATGTTCAAGGAACATGTGTAAGATGAGCTTTATTGTGGATTTTTGAATAATGTTCTTTGCTCTATAGCATCGGCTGAAAAATTGTTGTTGCGACTTTAACTATAAAGAGGTAGGGGCATATGGCGGTGTTTATATGATCCAACCACTTTGCTACTTGTCACTGCTGGGTTTGATTCTGCCATCCAAGTGCATCTACTTCCCAACATGTGCAAGGATTCATCAGAAGCAGACGGAATGTTGACAGATTCCAATGATAGGATAGAGAATTTCTCAATTTGTACCCCTAACGTATCAGAGAAGTTCGAATTAATGGACAGGTATCTATTTAAACATCATTTTTGGGTTTCCTGTGTTTGTGAAAATATCTTTCCTTTTTGTTGTTGACATCGTTAAAATTATTTATTTTCAAATTGTTTTGTGTTATTAGTCATTCTATTGAAATATTCTGAAGAGAAAATAAAAATGCCGAGGGTGACTCCTCTAATGGTAGTTTGTCCCTATCTCATAGCTTGTAGTTTCCGTAACAGTTTGAGCGTCATTTAGAACATATAAGAACTGATTAAACTTGCTGTCCCTCCGATTGTATTTCCATTCTAATGCTTGCCCATGTCCCATATATTCTGATTTTCTGGATCACTGCTTGTACTAAAAACTTGCTTAAATTTTAGGGAGCATGATCATCTAACTCGTATCAGGTACAATATTTTCATTTCTTTGCGAGAGTAAGTTATAGGCAGGTAAGTGAGTCATCAGATATTGCTTTTCTATGTTACTTGTAGTCATGTAAACCGCCTTCTTCTTCTGCCCACATTTGAGAGTATAATAGAAAGGTTTGGATTCTGTCGTGGGTTTATGTAGGGTATGCACTTTCACAGATATATTATGAAATAAAAATCTCACACACTATTATGCCAATTATAAATTTTCTGTTCTGTGGTTGTCATCTATATTACTGATTGATGATTTTGTTGCAGCAAAAGTGAGTATGTTCGATGCTTGCATTTCGGTCAGGAAGATATCCTGTATGTTGCCACTAACAATGGATATCTGTACCATGCGAAGTTGTTGAGTCCTGGAGATGTGGAATGGACTCAACTTGCCCATGTCGGTGAAGTGCCAATTGTCTGTATGGATTTGATGAGCAGGTGCCTGTTTGAGACATCTAAGGTTCCTGGAGACATGATTGCCATGGGGGATGGTAAAGGAAATGCCACGGTAGTTAGAGTTGTTGGCAGTGATTCGAGGCCCAAGGCTGTACTATCCTTTACCTGGTCAGCTGAAAGAGAGAGGCGACTACTAGGAATTCACTGGTGCAAGTCATTTGGATGTAGGTAATTTAGATCTGAAACATCTCTACTGTGTATACGAGTTTGAAGGGAAATAACCTGAAAGATTCATCGGTTTGGTTCTTTGATGCAGCTACGTTTTTACTGCTGATCATAGGGGATCATTGAACTTGTGGAGATTAGAAGATGCTGCACAATGTGTAGCCAACACTAATGCAGCGAACATGAAAGCGTCTCTTGTTGCAGTTTACTCTTCTAGTTTTGGAAAGAGGGTCATGTGTCTGGATGCATCTATGAAAGATGAGGTGACAGTATGCTATTTCTTGTACAATTTGTTTTTGTTTATTTTTTTATGATAGATGAAATCCATTACTTTAACTGAAAGAAGTATCAGGATAAAAAAGTTCTGTTGTAAGGTTTATTTTAATCAGAGTATTCTTGTATAATGATTAAGCATTTGTACCATGCCAAGGACAATTTACTTGCAAGGATTGATTCAGATGTGATTCTTTTGGTGATACTGGGATTCTTCTTTCTTAATATATAGTTTATGATTACTTATGCTGAACTGTACAATTTTCATCATCATATTTACAGTACAATATGATCCAGGATGTTTCACTGAAAGATGGTGGCGTGAGCAGCAAAAGATCTTCAAACCACTATTTTAAGTAGGATGTATTAATTTAAAAAATAAATTTCTTTGTCAAAGTATCCTTTTAGAACCCACCCATATCAAACATGTTTTCTAAGCTACTTATGCCATATTGCCCTTGGATCTCTCCTAAAATAATTGACTGAACGTCAATTCTTGATTTTGTCGGGAAACTGTTTTCTCATCCCTTGTTTTGTCATGCAATGATGTGATCGCTTCATGCTTTTTGCTGCTTGTGAGTATAACTCTGTGCCGCTAGAATCCGGACCTGACGATAGGTTTCTAATGTACTGCATTTCATGTCTTAATGCGGTTTGTGGTTGTTTCTACTGAATCTGGATTATATTAATTTATTACTCTTTCATTGCTTAACTGATCATCTTTGTATCTGTGTGCAGGTTCTTGTATGTGGTGATCAGCATGGTAATCTTGTTATTTTCCCCTTGCTGAAGAATATGTTACTTTCTGATTTTTCAAAATCGAAAGGGGTGATTCCTTCACTCACCCAATTCAAAGGGGCTCATGGTATGACAAGTGTCACCAGCATATTCATTGGTCGACGAAATGGCCACCACATTGAGATGCGCACAGTAAGATCTAATCCTTGACTTTGTGACCTGCGTCTGAAACAAAGGGTAAGTCATTTAACTATTTACTATATTTTATCCCAGACTGGTGGAGACGGATGCATTTGTTACTTTAATTTCTCCACAAGCTCACATACAATGGAATTCTATGGAATGAAGCACATCAGAGAATTGAGCATAATCAAAATTGTTGTGGATAACGTTTCCTCTGTGGAAGATTTGGGACTGGGACATTTTGTAATAGGTTTTGCTTTCACAGATTTTTTCATATGGAACCTAATGAGCGATTCAAAGGTGTCTACTTCTGTTAACTGTTCTTGCATTAAACCTTCAGTTGTTTTTTTTTCAGTTTCTATTTCAATTCTCTCATCCTATGAACTCTTGTGCAGGTGTTACAAGTCCCATGCGGTGGGTGGCGGCGCCCTTATTCTTATTATTTGGGTCACAACCCAAAGACCCAGAACTGCTTCGCATTCCTAAAGGTAAGTTTTTTTGGTTCTGGACTCCAATCCTTCACCTGGGCACGTAGACACAAATTTGAGTAGCTTTACTTCATTTCTAGATTGCTTTTTCGTGGTTGTCGTTCACCCTATGTGGTCTGCTAGAGTTATTGGGTCGTCTAACTCCAAGCTGATTGACCTGTATTTATAATCAGTAGTTTATTTCTATTTATAACCAAAATGGAACTATGCTTAACTTGATCCTTCCACTTTTGTGCTTTTTTTGCCACGTGGGCAACATTGAGATACCTTAAGCCCAAGAACAATCACAGACTTTGATATTATTTTAGAGTTAGCTTGGTATTTGACTCAAAACTATTTGTCAATGAATGGACTAGGCTCTTCTCTATGATCACCAATTTATTTCTATCACTAATATGGGATTACTCTTTCTCACGATCTAGCTTGGTATTAGATGATGATTTAATTTAATGTTCATTTATGGAGAACCACTATCTCTTTATAGGATCACAAGATTCATATTCGTAGGCACTGGGAGGTGGATTGTGAGGAGAAATCATTTCCTCAAATCTTGCACACGCAATGCCATGGAAGAGAGATACACTCCACGTGCTTTGTATCTCTTCCAATGGGATCAAAACCTCATCAGATCAAGGATTTCTGGGTAGCGAGTGGAAGTGAAGATGGAACTGTCCGCTTGACAAGGTACAACGGTCATATGCTGTCAGCATACTAAGTATACCCGAATTTTTCTTATGTTTGGTCAAAATAATTGGGATGGATGCTGATAATTTTAAGTTTGATGCCCACGTGTTTGTCTTCCTGTTTAGTTCTGCTGCTTTTCTCTGAACGATCGTTCAAACGTTAGTGAAATTTAATTTGTCTAATTATTCTTTTTTTTTTTTCAATCAAGCATGGTTTCTTTCTGTACTTGTTTTAGATATGTCAGACCACTAAACAAGTAAACCTTATTCAGAGATGGACAAGAAAATAATCCCTTCCTTGGAGGTGTTGTTGTTTCTCACTCTTTTCGATAGATTCAACTCAATGGTTGTAAGAAAAGTGAATGTTTTTAATCATATATCCGAAGAAAATGAGAACTAGCTCCATGGACAAGGACCTGTACTATGAGGACTTACCTCTTTGCTGCTGGACACTGATTTATACATGATCCTTCGTGTTGGGCCAGTTTCTCCATTCTAATGCTCCCTACATTTTATCATATGTTGTTCATTTTTCTTTAACCTTATTGGATTATTTCATTCACTTACCTAAATATTTTTATAGATACATTTTTCATATGTATACAATTTGCCTGGCATGCCCAACAATTTTCTCTCTGTGCATACATGCCAGTATCTGGCTGGTTATTCCATCTTTCTATTCTTACATGGTTTTTTGGTGGGAATGAAAGCCAGAGGAGGCCTTCCATTCTCTACAATATTTAATCTTGTTATTTTATGTATATTTATGGTATGTTTTACATCAGGGGAGTGAACAAGTTTGGTGCCCTATGCAGGTATGCACCTTCTGATCCGGAGAGTTGGTCTGCTTCTCATTTGCTTGGGGAGCATGTCGGCGGATCAGCTGTGAGATCCCTGTGCTTCGTATCAAAGATGTTTGGATATGGAACGGGATGCCTGCATGATGTTGCACCTGTGGATGATTCCTCTTCAGATTATGAAGACAATTGGTGTATGCTAATTTCTGTTGGTGCCAAGCAAGTTCTAACCTCTTGGCTTCTGAGAGATGTGAAAACGGGGAATGTGGAGGAACCATGTATTGAGGCATTGGCCGCCACCGAGGATCATCGTTCATCGATATCTTTCCAGTGGCTTTCTACCCACATTCCTCCTAGGCCGTCAAGAACATCCAAAAATCGAGACAGTAGACTTAGAACTCATAAAGGCACTGACACTTTGACCTCACAATCAGCTCCTCCCCTGTCAAAGCCATATTTCTCTGAGAATCTAATTGAGCAGACCAGGTCTGCAGTCGTGGCTGAAGATGACAATGACTGGAGATACCTGGCTGTCACTGCTTTTGTCGTTGAAGATGCTGAAATCAGGTATGCTGATGAGGGTAGTATTATGAGCTAACTTCTTTCTATATATTTTAATATTTCCATTTTAAGTATGTATGTGGCCGAATGGGTAGATTTCATACAAATTGTCATATCGTGTAGGTCCAAGGTGTGCTTTGTTGTGGTCGCCTGCTCAGATGCTACTCTCACACTGCGTGCTCTTCGATTGCCGCATCGTCTCTGGTATGGTGAACGGGGAATAATACAACATATCATAATGGCCATTATTTATTATTATCATATTGCAAAGAAAATAGAATTTCCTCTCTTGGAATTCTTTCATCAGCCCACCTGCCTGCGTCTTTGTGGGTATTTATCTCGTCTGACTCATCAATTGCTACCTTTTCAGGTTTGATGTAGCATTACTGGTTCCACAGCCATCTCCAGTCCTGGCCCTGAAGCATATTGCTGTTCCTTTGCCTGCAAATGGCCGTTGTGAGTTCTCCGGCCTGTAACACTGTTTTGGAACTGGATGCCAGATATGGGATTTCTTCATAGCAATGCAAATCTGTTGGGTTCCTGTTCTGAGCCATTACATTACTTAAAAAGGGCTTGTCATCTGATTATCTTCTGTAGCTGCAAATGTGGAAATTTGTAGATTATTCGTAGAAACTTTCAGATAATCTGGATACAGGAGATTAATTTTTAGATTATTTTTTATCAAACTTTAGGCAAAGAATCTGGTTCAATTAATCTATATTGAATGTATAATACTATATTTAGTAATTTCCATGGAGATAATTCTCTTTCAGGTAATGCCTCAGACAGAAATGCGCATGTCATTGTCAGTGGTTCCACCGATGGAAACATTACTCTGTGGGACCTGACCAGAACCATCGAGCAGTTCATGCAATCCATGTCGGAGTTGCAGCCAGACAAGGTTACTGCCAGCCAGAGGCGGCCTCGGACAGGAAGAGGTAGCCAAGGTGGTCGATGGTGGAGGTCATTAGATCATCAAAACCCTAAAAAGGGGGCGGCCCATGGTGCTGAACCAGAGATCTCTGGTGGCGGTCTCTCCCCCATGGCTGATAAGTGCGAGCTCCTCCTGCCTCTTCATGTTCTAGCCTCTGTTCATCAGTCGGGGGTCAATTGCCTACACGTGTCCTCTGTGAGCCAGCACAGTGAGGAGTCAGCCTTCTGTATCCTAAGTGGAGGAGACGACCAAGCTCTCAGCTGTCTCTTATTTGGTCTGACGGCAGAGAACCGGTCAGTGGGAAGCTCAGAGCCTCAGTGGATGGAGAGGTGCTCTTATCCCTTGGTCAACGACTACAAGCTGAAGGTGCTCTATAGCTGTAAGCTCGATTCAGCTCACAGCGCTGCTGTGAAAGGTAACTTCCCATCTCTATGGAACTCGATGCTTGCCTCCATTTCCCTTTCGGACGTTGACTTGCCACCTGAGCAGTGGAACACCGTCTGCATTTCCTCTTTTGGTTAAAATATTTATTTATGTGAGATGGAGCATAGGAATTATATGACTCATTTGGCCACATGATTGATGGAGTCTCATAAAGTGTCTGATGGGTCTCACTGACTACTTGTCTCCCCCTCCCCTTTCTCAGGCATTTGGTCGGACGGGTGTTGGGCGTTCTCGACCGGGCTCGATCAGAGGATCAGATTCTGGCGAATCGACGCTCGTGCTCAGCTCACCGAGCATGCCCACTTGATCATCAGCGTCCCCGAGCCCGAGTCACTGGATGCTGTGAGCCACGGCAGGTGAATTTCTCTCTCCTGCTATGGTCACCCGTCCTTTCCATAAATGGAATATGTGAGCTGGATCAGGATATTGACTCTCTCTCTCTCTCTCTCTCTCTCTCTTTCTCTCTTCTCTCTGTGACTTGTTCTTGACCCAGATCAGGAGAGCAGTATCGGATAGTAGTGGCGGGGAGGGGCATGCAGATGATCGAGTTCTCACCGCAGGATCAGGATCGGGCGATTGCTGTTTGAGATGGTTTCTTGCAGGTGTTTTTTTTTTGAGACCCGAGGGTCAAAGTTATTACTGAAAATAGTATTATCTTATTAATCCGTATTTTTCAAGACCGTTGACAATCTGGGTCAGATCCGGGAATGGCTGTGGGTCTGGAGAGTGAGATCAGATTTGATCCGAGTTGACTCGGACCTGCTAAGAATTGGGGTCCAATGATTGTGAGAGGGCTTAAGAAATAGAGTTATCAGAAGTAGGGATTTTCTTAAAAAAACTAATTTGGTTCTTTCCTCTGAAGTCCTTCGAGTTCTCTGAATCACGACAAAAGCTTGTCTATATACAATTTATAAATAAGCCCTAAGATTTTCAGTTATTTGTGTTAAGTACTGTAGTCCACGTGTAGTTCATGAAATGCGTGTCTACGGGATATTCCCTTAATAATGAAAAAGCTTGCCAGATATGCGCACACGTTGACCTTGGTTTGACTTTCTCTTTTGAGAGAGAGAGGCGCTATTATACCCTGTGATATATAGTTACGATATGGGCTCACATTCTGTAATATTCTGGTCCAACTCGCGTTAACTAAAAGAATGCCGAAGGAACAGCAGACATGGGGTGAACGGGCGGCGGTTATGAAAATTGTGGAAAAGTCCCTGGGCCCGCCCGTCAGCGCTCCTCACATGGCACCGACGGTATGTGGGCCGCGGGAGAGTCGATGGGAGCCGGCTTCAGCCGGTCGACCCGGTTCACCACCACCGACATGAGGCGAAGCGGCTGGTTACTCTCGGCCACCGACTACCGGCGCTATCCGGTCCGTAAGCTGCGGCTCGTGGCCGTCAATCTGACGGCTGGGAATGATCTCAGGCTGCTAGATCTGGGAGCCCCACGCGTGAGAGCGCGTTTAGAGAAGATATAAATAGTGATAGCGATTGAGAGAGAGAATGTAGAGAGAGAGGGAGAGGAGAGAGATTAACTAGATAGATAGAGAAAATAGAGAGAGATTACTAACTAAAATAAAAATAGTGAGAGAGAGAGATTAGTAACTAGATAGATAAATACGAAGAGAGAGAGAGGCTTGGTGGGGGCGGGGGGGGGGGGGCGTCCCACGGCTATAAAGAGGAGGCTTGGGATGGCGGGAGAAGGCGCTAGATAGAAGGTGTCGGTCCGGCTGGTTTGAGATTGCGAGAGCTTAGGGCAACCTCCTCTTCCTTTTTCAAGGTGATTATTCTCTTTGTTTCTGGTCTTTCCGTCGATTTCCGAAGTTTCCATGTTGCGTGTCTAGCGGCTTCTCCCGTTCGATCGCGAGGTATAGTTGTTTTCGGATCTGCGTGCTTTTCTTCTTCCTTTTTGAGTGTGAGGGTGGTAGACAGGCAGCAGGTACTTCAGATGCTTGTAGAATACGCTTCGGGCGGATTTTTCACCTCGCGACTCCCCGGAACTGGTGGCTTTTCTTTCGCTGCTTGTGGACGTGAACGAGATGGTTTTTCTTGCTCTGGTGGTCCTTTGGATCAGACATCTGCATTAATTACGATTGAAAATTAGAGATTCAACATTGCTCCCCTGCTTCCTCCGTCTATTTTGGATGTTCTTTTTTTTTCTCATGGTGGATCAGCGATTTAGAGAGTGATCTTTGAAAGCATTGGGAGTTCGCTGGATTTGTTTTCCGCGGATCTGACTTGTAAGGGAGGGATCTGCTGCGTCCATTCTTTTGAATCTGAAAACTGATCCATCCAGTTCTCGTCGTCTCGGACCAAAAAATATTTCTCGAAATTGTGCGTAGTTTCTCGAATATTTGGCTTCAATGTCCCTGGATCTCATTCCTTCTCATATGCCCGACGAATGACTGGAGAGTCGAATGCTTCCCTGGATGAGTAATTTGAACTTCTTGAGTAATCTAGGGGGACTGGTCTGCAGTCCTTTTTCCCGCGCAGGATCAAGGAAATGGAGACTTTCCTCTTCACCTCCGAGTCGGTAAACGAGGGCCATCCCGACAAGCTGTGCGACCAGATCTCTGACGCGGTGCTCGACGCCTGCCTGGCCCAGGACCCGGACAGCAAGGTGGCCTGCGAGACCTGCACCAAGACAAACATGGTGATGGTCTTCGGTGAAATCACCACCAAGGCCCAGGTGGACTACGAGAAGATCGTCCGCGACACCTGCCGCTCGATCGGCTTCGTGTCCGACGACGTCGGCCTCGACGCCGACCACTGCAAGGTGCTCGTCAACATCGAGCAGCAGAGCCCTGACATCGCGCAGGGCGTCCACGGCCACTTCACCAAGCGCCCCGAGGACATCGGCGCCGGCGACCAGGGCCACATGTTCGGCTATGCCACCGACGAGACCCCCGAGCTGATGCCGCTCAGCCACGTCCTCGCCACCAAGCTCGGCGCCCGGCTCACCGAGGTCCGCAAGAACGGCACCTGCCCCTGGCTCAGGCCCGACGGCAAGACCCAGGTCACCGTGGAGTACCAGAACGACCACGGCGCCATGGTCCCCATTCGCGTCCACACTGTCCTCATCTCCACCCAGCACGACGAGACCGTTACCAACGACGAGATCGCCGCCGACCTCAAGGAGCACGTCATAAAGCCCGTCATCCCCGACAAGTACCTCGACGAGAAGACCATCTTCCACCTCAACCCCTCGGGCCGCTTCGTCATCGGCGGGCCCCATGGCGACGCCGGCCTCACCGGCCGGAAGATCATCATCGACACCTACGGCGGCTGGGGCGCCCACGGCGGCGGCGCCTTCTCCGGCAAGGACCCCACCAAGGTGGACCGCAGCGGCGCTTACGTCGCCCGCCAGGCCGCCAAGAGCGTCGTCGCCAGCAACCTCGCCCGCCGGTGCCTAGTCCAGGTTTCCTACGCCATCGGCGTGCCGGAGCCGCTCTCCGTCTTCGTGGACACTTACGGCACCGGCAGGATCCCCGACAAGGAGATCCTCCAGATCGTGAAGGAGAACTTCGACTTCCGCCCAGGTATGATCACCATCAACCTCGACCTCAAGCGGGGCGGCAACCGTTTCATCAAGACCGCCGCCTACGGCCACTTCGGCCGTGACGACCCCGACTTCACCTGGGAGGTCGTCAAGCCCCTCCAAAAGAAACCTCATCCCTGAAACCCCCCCCGCCTCCGCCATGGCGCCGGCCCTCCTATAGCCTTCCGACCGGCCTTCCCCAAAATTATCCTCTTGTTTCATTCTTCCCTTTTGCTCTTGTGAGTCCTTGTTTCTTTTTCTCGTGCTGTCTCCGTTCAGTCTCCAACTCCATGTAGAGAGATGCCCCTCTCTCTCTCTCTTGACTGGGCCGAAGTCCTCTATAAACACGATTCCATGAATAATAAAAGGATACTCTTGCGGCTACAGACGCGCCTCCAAATGCTCACGTCCTAGGTGCTCTGCGCATGCGTGCACGCTTGCGCTATGGCTCCCATTGCTCGCCATGTGCCATACGTGTGCTGCATGGCCTTTGGGCACGCTGCCATGTGAGCCTAGATCTGCTGCTACACGACCTCATGCACACGCATGCTTCATATGTGTCATGTGGTGACAACTGCATGCCCTTAGGGATATCCTAAGATTCTACTATTGGACACTAAGGTTACACAGCGCAGTATTAAACTTCCGTTCCAAACATGTATTGACACAAAGGAATGAAACCTGCAATGTTCCAAGCAAGAGATGGCGGAAGAATTCACTATAATAGAATAAAAAATAGAGAAGAGAGAGGACACAAGGCAGAAGAAAACAAGGAAGAGAGAGAGACGGAGAGAGAACGCCCTCTAACAAATTTGAAATGTGAAAATAATTTGCGACGATTTTTTTTACAAGTTAGTAACTTCAAGAACATGAAATAGAAATTGAGTGTGAAATTAATGGTAAAAATAATTAAAGAGCCAATAAAAAAATTAATCTCATCATCTGCTTGTCACCTAGATGACATAACAAGTGAAAATGAACATTAAATGAAATAAAATGAGAATCATGCAAAGTCGTATAAACAAAACACTGTTCAACCCATCTTCGTCTATCTCTCAAAAGAAACTTGGCCACTAAAAAAATTAATTTGACTTACCTTGCACCCTTCTTTTGTCTTATTACAACCATAATAGTCTTCTTGTTTAGTGGGAAATGACATAATAGCCTCCCAACTAATTCATCTCAAGGGTGGTTATTGGGTTTCTCTCTCTATTTGGAGTAAGTTAGACCCATTAAGGTTCTATCATTACACTCTCTCTAGGAGACACATGATCATAGGATTGAAAAATTGGAAATTATTACTATAGCACCTCCATTGATTCCTAAGTAGTCTCAAGTTCTAGAAAATCATCAACGGATCAATAATTATGCTCCCCTAGTTATGTTATGTATCACAAGCACCTCTCCTGGGCTAACAGCCAAACCCACTAAATCCTGGCATATAACACCAGTGAGGTGGTTGGCTATAATCTTGAGCATTGAAGACATTTAGCTTGAGGTAAATAGATACCTCCACTTCATGATATACATTTCAATGCTTAACATTGGTGTGTTGATGTGCTTATATAGTCATGTTGGTATGTATCAACACATACTCTAACACAATTCATAAATTTACTGAAAAATTTTAAGAAAAAAGTATGTTTTCACAATCCTAACTTCACGAATATTTTCATTATAATTGAAAATACTTCCCAAGAATATAAACCTTGGATAATCACATTATTTGATAGATTTAAAATAAAAATATATTCATGTTACATAAAGCATGAAAATTACATAATTTAGTACTAACTCACCACATGACTCTTAGAATCAACACTAATGTGATTTAACAAATAGCATTTAAAAATGATTCATATTGAAATTGCTTCAATTTTACCTCGGTAATCTATAAAAATAAAGAATTAATATGTAGTTACTAATGAGGTCTTTGAATTTTCTAGTCAAGTCTATGTTATATTGGATTCTTTTATGATCAGGCCTTCCACTTTACAAGGTCATAATGCATGTGGAATCATATGTCTTGTTTTACAACTTTTTAGTG